AATCTTTTAGTTAGGTTGTATGCTGATGTGTATACTATTGAAACCATTATAAGGAGACGTAAGGTTGACTTTAAGAAGAGTATGATTCTTTATTATATTTTGAGTTTTAATTAGGATAAGATTGCTACTTATTCGTAAGAATTTAATATAGATATTACTGATTGTTATATTGTGAAAGTCCTAAGGTATCGCTTCCTACCTATAGGAAGTAAAGTTATAGCCTTTCTGGCCGAATTCTAACGTCTGCTTTTTCTTCTTTACGCTTATCTATGAAGATTTGTGGGATTAATGTGACGAGGATATGATAATATATCTAAAATCGAGTCCTATATATATGATGGCGGTGTTATATATTCTGATAAGAGCTAAATGACGATGATGATCGAATAGTGTAGGATGAAACGATTTAGAATCGAGAGTAGCTATAGAAATGTAAAGACGATGATATTGTCTTAGGAAATGGAAGTATATAATTGTAGACTTGGTTTATATATATGATATAACGGCTTGTTAGAAAGACTTAAAGAACGTTGTTCCTACCTTCGCCGATGACCTTTATGCCTGGCTGCATCTTCAACCTGTTGCACAAGCGAGGGTCGCCAGCTGCGCGGGTATTACACCTTCATTGATTCGACAATGTTATGAATCCCCCGTTTTCGCCTATCTTGATATGTATGGTGCCCTTTCGGCGCGTATTGGTCTTGGCAATATTCTCCACTTCGTGAACACCAACAGTCTATAGCCCATGGTTTAGTATAAGTTGCATAAAACGCCAATATAATTTATAACAACCTCGCGGAAGAATGTCTAAAAGTAATTTGATACACCAACGTCGGCGCTTCCTTGGCGAGCGTCATTTCTAGAAACCTCTTTGCATAATATCCTACTTTGAGTGGTTACCGACGTTTATCTCAGTCGATTTGCCCCACCAGAGCGGCTTTACGTAATTACCAGCCCACTTTTTTAGTGTGTGTTAATCTTACGACTCAAGCTCTTGACACTCTTATTAACATAACTCCAGACTCGAGAGCTTTAACTTGAAATCATTTTCATTCTTGAGTATTTGAGCCTATGATATATACTGAAATATATTATGTTGGGACTGTAGGAATAGGACGAGATCTGCTTTGATAAGGAGTTTGTTGGTATTTTGCCTCCGTATAACGTCTGATGTCCTACGATAAATGAGCTTTTCGACCTTTACGTTAAAGAGTATCCTTGTAGAGGAATTGCCTCTCTATTGGGATCGCCAGTCTTCTGGGTCAAATATGGCCAAGCGGTATATTGGAATGAGGTGGTAGCCTAATATATGGCGTATTATGAGTTATGACGCTTAGGATCTTCTGTGTGGGCTCTAGCTGTTTTTTATGCCTTTTAGTATGATTATTGGGTTTTCATCGTTATGGAGTATATTTATGGAAAAATCGTCAGCAAATGTCTGGAGGAATCATAAAATTATGTGGAAAAGGAGGATATTATTGACTAGGTTGTCTTGAGTCTGATAGAACTTTATTGTATCCTTATCCTTTTGGGCTCTCGTCTGGCTATAGTAGATGGAGGTTATATCTAGTATGTGCTATTTGATGAGTAAGAAGTGCTAAGGTATTATGAGAATGTTGAGTAATTAGAGCTTTATCTTAATGAAGTAGGTTTCTACTTTGAGTTATTTTGTTGATTTTGCTTTGATTTTTACGATATTATATATGAGAATTAGGAGACATTAAAACTGACTAAAAGTTTATCAATAGTTTTTAAAAGAAGTAAAAAGTAAGTATAAGATTATAAACCTTTCTTTTAAGCTTAGGATTTTCTGTCAATCAGACTTATATTCTAAGAATTTTATGATCGATAATAATAGCTTTGTTATAGTCATCGATTTCTCTGACGTAAGTATTTTTTCATCTAGCTTTGCTAGATACTCATTGTATGAAAACATGCTTGGCTTCGACATTCGTGGGCGAGTATACGTTCCGACTATAGAGGGTGTTGATAACACTCAAGCACTACTCGCTGTCGGCAGCCGGATGGCTATAGGGTCAGCTTTTCTTGCTCGCCTAGGTCGAAGACTGCCAGGGGGCGACAAAGAGACATAGGATAGAATAATGAACTCGATTAGGACTTCTAATGAATGTCTCCGGCTGGCTATGGAGGAATGAATATCCAAGGTCCATTGTAACGGGCCAGATAGATA